TCACCTGCCTGCCTGCCTGATCGCCCCTAACCACTCTGCCTGCCAGCATGCTCGCCCCCAACTGCCCCCTCCTGCTGGCCTGCTCCCTCCCAACTGCTTCCCGGCCAGCCTGATCACCCCCAACTGCCCTCCCCCCCTGGCCTGATTGCCCCTAGCCATCTCTGCCTCGGACACGCCACCATGCCTTTGTCTGGAAGGACGTCTGCAAGGTCTCCTGGAAGGTCTTCTGGTCTAATTAGCATATTACCCTTTTTTTAGTATAGATACAGTATAGACCTTTTTGGCTACTTCCAGCTCCCTTGTCTTATGTAAATGCAACTGTTGCTGCTCCCTGCACCTGCTTTCCTTGTGTTATGGAGATGTACCTTCTCCCAATCTGTAGCCCTGTGTTTTTCCATGGACCCCAATTCTAAAAATTCCCTAAACCTGCCTATATTCCCCTAAAATTCTTGTTTCATAACCACAAAGGATGGTCTTAAATTAAAACTTTTTAAAACTAAAAAACAGTTTATGGTGGTTAGTCTTGTCCTAGACTGGTATCTTCTCTGACAAAGTTCAATCTTTACCTTAACTGAGCCTGTCTATTGTCTTTTTGCATCTACGGTAACCTATCTTTGGAATGTCAAAGTAATTTTCCTTTTCTGGACCCCTCAAAGCACAGGCACCTCTCTTCAGAGACCACAAATCCCCTCATTGTTATTGAGTTAATTGTTGACTGTTAACTACCTTAAACCCACTTAAGTAAAAGAAGTATGTATCTATTATTTTACTTTTTATCCAATCCCAGAGGTCCCTCCTCACCTGCTTTGCATTCTTCCACTGTTAGGTCTGATCAAATAATTGAATCAATACCCTCTTCCCCTGTCAACTGGCCTTTAGACCACTTCACAACTGACATTCCGTTTTGCTTAGACCACGTTCCACTTGCTAAGACCGGACCTTTCCACCTTGGGGCTTCTGATCCGTCCTTCCCTGACCCCTCAGGTCCCTCAGACCCTTCCTTCAACCCTTCCAGTTACTCAATTCTCCATTCCCCTCCCAGTGTCCTTGAACCCAACTCCTTATGTTCCTCCTTCCTCCTACAGTATC